TTGTAGTTTCACTAAAAAATACTGACGATCTGGAGGACTTTGACGCGAAAAACTACAAGATAAATTTATAGCTGTGTAAAAATTTTACAAAAACTGTTTCAGAGTCGAATTCGGGACAAAAACCAAAAAAACCGTTTTTTTCCGAAAACCGTTAAGGTTTTCTCCAAAACCGATCACCACAAAAGTTTCATTTTCAGTTTATTTTCTTCTTTTTTGAAAATAATGGGATGTTTTCAGTCAAAAATGTCCAAATTAATTTTGCCAGAAAATTCGCCCCAATCATCGGTTTGCAGAAAACTTTAGAAAACCCATTTTATCTTCGCATTTGGCACAAAAATCAACTAATTTTATTCAGTTTTTACCGAAAGTAATTAGGACTGTGTTAAAAAAACGACCAGAGAGCAAAAATTATTGGAAAAATTCCCCGCCCTCATCGCTCTGAGGATTTCTAAAGTTTCTTAAAATTTTCAGGTCATTCCAGTTTTAACAAAGTTTCTATTAAGCAATTCTTTCAGCGCAAAAGTCGCATTATTTTTTAGTTTTACTTAAAATACTGGCAGTCTTCAGGTATTTTCTGTGAAAAATTAACAATGGACAAAACCTTAATAACTATTTCTGGGACTTTTTTCAAAAATATTTCCCCGATCTGAAAAACCCAAATTTTATAATCATTTATTCGGAAACCCCTTGGAAACTGGAGTTTCTTCACTTTGAGGTCAACATTTTTAAACAACACTGTCTCTAAACAGAAAAACGGCGTTTTCCTAACGTTTCACTGTAAAATACTGGCAAACTGAATCTTTTTTTACAAACTTCTTTTTGGGTATTTCGCCTCAAAAATTTTTGTATTCATATTCTGTTGAAATGCTTAATAAGCTGTAATGAGTTTTCAATTCGACAATTTTTATTCTTTCGCTCAAAGTGGTTCTATTTTTATTGCGGAAATAAATTTATTTTGATTGCAGTTTGATTTGGCGATCTTTTTGCTGTTTATTGCAAATGAGACTAATTAGTCGCCTAAAACAGTTTTTAATGTATTTTACTCCCGCAATTTGTGTTTTTTTTTCTCGTTGCTTTTGCAGTGTTTAGTATTTTGCTGGAAAAACACGGATCCAAAAAAAATCCACATTTTATGTCTATTTTAGCGATTTTCGAGCAGTCTGGATCGTTAACTG